CCAACATAAATAATTTAATCTGTGATTGATCACAGGCGAGAGGGATTCACTTTGGATCGGGCACTGTCTCTGCTGTAGATTTAGAGCACTCAGCGACGGTTTTACCAGTACGATCATGTTTCATGTGTAATATGAAATATGAGGATGGTTTAATTTGACTTTTTTTTGATGTCGCTTTGCAAAATCGTTTTACCAGTATGATCAAGTTTCTTGTGCAACATGAAATGTGGAAGTATGGTTTCCTTCAACTTTTTTGATGTCGCTTACGTTGATTTTCGCAAAATCTTTTTTAGGAGCAATGATTCATTTTAGGAAGGGGTTAAGATTTTTACATACCGTATGATATTCTGTATGTGGATTACTCATTTTGATGATGCAAAGCTGTCATTACTGATTATTAATATCGAAATTTATCATTATGATGCAAAGCTGATTATTAATATCGAAATTTATCATGATGCATATTGACGTCATTAATTTCAAGTTTTATGATGTAAAGCAACGCTTTGATCAATTTTTTATTACCTTCATTGGTTCTTTTTTGAGCGTCTTTTCGTCTCTCATTATTTTTTAGGATTTATTTTTTATCGCCATAGCGATCTATCGCTACCCCCTGAGATTTATTTGTCGCGTCATGCGATGTCGGGGTTTCAATATTCAAACTCCATATATGATTAGTAATCTATAGGTAATCTATATTACTAATCATAGGCGGATTTTGAATATTGAAACCTCGACATCGTATGACGCGACATTAAGTTTCAGGATTTTGATTTTCGGAATTTTGATTTTCGGGATTTTGATTTGATTTAGACCCGGGTGGCATTACATCGCTATAGCGATAAATTATAAAGCTCTATTTTTTATTACATAATGAAATAATTTCGCTTAACAACTAGTTTAATCCGGTTTCATCAATACACCTACAATTGCCTCAAAGACACCACATTCGCGTACGCTCATTAACTGACAAGCTTATTTTGCAGATGTTCGTTTCGTAGATAATACAATATGCTCATTTTGCAAAGTAATACTAGTCAATATTGTGAGGATCAAGTTTAGAATTAGAATTAAGTAATATGAGCTATTGATAAATATGCTGTTAATGAAATAAACTTGTCTGTAAATAAATCATAAAATAAGCTTATCAGTGCATGAGTATCGTTGAAATGTGGTGTCTTTAAAGTGTTTGTCAGTGAAATAATATGGGCCTGTTATATTTAGACTTATTCATAAAAAAGATTGGATGACTTTACGGAATCATATCAATTTTCGTTTCAACCTATATGATTTTTATGCCATGGTCCTTATGGTAACTCGTTAGACGAAGGTATTTTTCTGGTTAATGTTGTGATTACGTATTGTTGTTGAAATCGAGGTTTCGATAAGTGCCAATGTCTTCGCGACCATTACAGGCAATGCAGAGATCTCTTATTTGGTGATTAGGCACACAAGGACCCGCTGCTTCGTAAGTTTCGTTACAATAACGGTACAAGGGCCTTTATTTGATGAACAGCACTGATAGACTAAGAATCTTTTTTTGATGGTTGAGCTCCATGACGATGACAGTGCGAGGTCCTTTTGTGATTAGGCCCCGAGGCTATTAATGTAGGGTTCGGAACGGGCAGTCAGCAGGCCGGCAGTTCCGGACCCTATACAAGAGCAATGCGGAGCCTCATTCTTAAACTATACTCCACAATAACAGCAGTGAAAGGACCTATTGTTTCATAAGTAGGCTTAATAACGATATGTTTGTATGTTTGGGTTCCACATCAGCAATGGCAGTGCAACGACTTCTTGTTTGCTGATAAGGCACCACAACGATATTAATTCACTCGCGTATAATGCATTATAGCCAATATTCGTTTCGTTGTAAATTTTCATAGATGCATTTTCCCATGCGAAAGATTCCAATGGCTAAGTTAGTATTAAGCTGCTACGACACATTAGGTAGCCTGAATATGTAATTTTGTTATAAAATGTGTTAGAAGCATTTAGAGATACCTGACACTTTAAGTGGCGTCCGCGACTGATTATACAGATTCTCGTATTTTCCTTCTGCATTAAGTCATCTGACCGTGCGATCATAATGAAAATGTAGATTGAAGCATTCAAAATGATGACTTTATTTTTTTTTTTAATCAATAAGACTAGTAAAAAGAGAATTGGTTTACGGCTGATAAAATTTTGTTTTATTTTGTTATGAACTTTCGCGTGAGATCGTACTGGTTTTGCGCGGCACCACGTGCTGCGCAGCTATCCTAATTTTAAATAAAACGTAATAAAGTTCTTAAACGAAACTTTCTGTTTTGAAAAAGTACTTTAAAATCACCAAGATTTTTTTCTTTGCCATTTCAAAAAGTTGCTACTAACACTACCTAAATTAGAGATTATTTTTAAAGGCAGTCTTTTGACGCTCGAGAGAAACGATTTTTGCAAAATTTTCGTTTTCTAGTATGTAACACTTGAGTACTAAAAAAGTACTCTAAAGCATATAAATAAGTTACCCGGGCAATTGATCTACATTAACCAATCAAACTATGAAGTAGAACCAGTGTTATGCCCGAAATGGAAATTCAATAAAAATTTCCATTTTTCTTATTTTGTATCTTTAATTTTGGGTCTGTAATACGGAAACGGTAAGCCACATCGATTAAGGGTTCCGAAATATGATTTACCGATAGCTTCGAACTATTAGAGTGGGATAATACCGGTAGTTAGTAACTAAAGAAAAGAAATAAAAGTTAGTAACTATTATGTGAAAGTTAGAAACTAATGGATGAAAAGTTAAAAACTACCAGGTAAAAGTTTCGAACTATCAAACTAAAGAAAATTATATATAAGGAGGGCTTCGCTAAACAAGAGAGAGGGACAATTCGAACTCCTGTAAGTTAGAAATAACTACCCTTTTGATGACCTTTATAGTAATATACCTAAATAATGACAATAGTATAGTATTAGTATTAGTTGGTATTATTTGTGTTATCGCCTTTTTATATGTTTTACTTATCTTAATAAAAGTTCAAATTTAGTATATGTTAAATATTGTTCTCTTGTGAAACATCATAAAAACTTTTTTATCAAACATATATTGACTCTAACAACATAAAGATAAATAAACATTAGTACAGATTATAACCTCAATCCCTTGAATTCATGCATATACTTATTTTAAATTTTATTAACTATCATTAGATTTTTGATCCAAATGTAAAATTTACATCCAAACAGTAGTTACAATTTGGTGATGACAGTGGGATTTGAAAAATTCTTGCTAGATAAAAGTATTAAAACTCAATCTATTCTTAATACACAACCCTTTATTGTAAAAATAACCCTAAATAATAACCTCAAATTAAGAATTAGGCAAGCTATTTGAATGATTAATTGGATCAATCTGAGAAATATAGAGTCAATTGATAACAACAATATTGACAAAATGGAACAACACATAGCTGCTATTACCGAACAAATTTAGCAACTCAACCAAGCAATGGCAATTGCTCCACAACCTCAAGACCAGCAGAACCAACCTAAAGAACGAATGTTGTTTTTATACCCACTTTTTTAAAAGGAAATCAAAATCCTATTGAATAGTTAGAAACTATTAAACAGACTTTTGAGGCTAATAATATTCAAAAACAAAGAAAATTAGCCATAGTAGATGCATATTTTGCAGGAATGGCTGCAATTTAGTGGAAAAGAAGACAAAATATCCAACCATTGATTATATACTGAGAAAATAATCAATACCAAAATCAGTTTTGTTCATGTCTTTAAATGAAATTTTTGCACTCAATCTTTAATAAGCCAATAGAGTAACAGATTAATAAGCTGATGCCAAAAAGTTGAAGAAATCATAAACTAATATGCTACTGAAATTTTGCTCTTTTTCGCTATGTTTCTGCTAAAGAACATCAATATTTAGAAACTATGAAGGCTCAATTATTTTTTCAAGAGTTAAGACTTAATTTAGTGCTTGCTATCAGACTATTTATATCTAATACTCTTTAAGATACTATTGAAAGAGCAAAAGTATACAAAGTAATTTTTGCTAATACAATAGTAAAATTAAGCCCATCTTCTGCTATAAGTCCAGCAATAACCTTTCTCCAACAACAAATGAATAGTATTAATCAACCTATCTGAACTATGAATAAAGAAATGATGGAACAATTAACTAAATTAATAGAACAAATTGCCATATCAATAAATAAAAGACTCTAAGAATTTAATAATAGATTATGTGAAATTTACTGAAATGGAGTTAATTGCTCTAATCGAGGTTATCAACAACTGATTATATGCTATAATTATCATCAAAATAGCTATATTGCCCAGAAATATCTAAATCAGAAAAATCTAATTCAAATTATCCAATAAATAATCACATTAATGATGGTAATATGGGCCATCTAAACAAAATTAATGAAAGAATATCTATAGAAAATCAAAATAATATTAATAATCAAACTCAGACTATAGTTGTTCAAATAATAAATAATGAAGAGCCTTTAAACTAAATAATGCATCTTTAGATGATAAGAATGCATTAAAAGATCAAATAATTTATTATTTTTTTAAGTTTTATAATTAGCCTCTTCAGCTTACTGTTTTTATTCATATATATAGATAAGGAGCTTGCTTATGGAACCCCAATATATTATATTATAAATGCAGATTCAGCTTGTATCACCAGTACATCTCTGCCACAATTATCTGTTATAAGAAGTCCCAGATGCTTTTTTGATACCCTATAAGACTAATTTATCCTCAAGCTGTCATTAGCTAAAGAGTTCCATATCCACAATTTGGCTAACCTAGACTTTGATAACTTATGCCAAGTCTGAAAACAAGTACTTGTGAGCTGAAGCTGCTACCATTACCTACTTCTGCTCTTGTAGAGTTTATTCAAACCTCAGTACATACTTTACAAACTATTACTAGTACTTAAGTTTTATCAGAAATCTAAACTTCCAATTCAGATAGCCTAAAGAGGCTGTAATCTGTCTTTGGTTCCACAGTTAGATCCTTTCTTCTGATTACTCATCTGATGGTCTGGTTGGAATAGTGTCTTATCAAACACTAGTCCTAATTCAGATTGCTAAAATTGGTGTCTGGATTCTTTAATAGTCTTTTAAATAGTATTATCAAAGATTTGTACTACCTCTCTATTTAGGACTTGATAAGTGGACTTTCATATACCTCATAGCCCCAATATCTGGTTTAATTCAGTTGCTTACTTAAATTTTGTATAACTTATATGTTATACTAATGTTCTATAGCCTCCCAGTATGAGCTGGTATGACCAGATTTACAGATCTCATAGCCTATTAGATTTCACACAGTCTGCTATAATATATTTTGTAACATTCAAATTTCATTACTAGTAGGATTCTAACTTTTGTCTTGCTACTTGGAGTGTAACAACTTACCAACTTCACTAAGTCACCACACTCAGCCTAATTAACAATATTTTTTAAAAAATCATATATATTAAAATAATATAAATAATAATGATCATTTTTATTTTAAATATAAGCATATAGATATATTCTATTCTTTATAGAGTTTGAGGTATAAATTATAAGGCATGCCTTTTAGGTATGCCATTAGGCTTGTCTAGAGATATGCACTTAAGCCAAAGATATATCTTTTTTATGTAATAATCAATATTAAATCATATAATAATATAACATACTGATTGGCTATTAATATATGCCAAATTATATGACTTTGATATACTCATTATTATATATCTATTGTATATTAAGTATTATAGAATTTTCTTATTTTTAGAAATAAATTTCTTTACAAATATCTGATAGAATTTGATAAAAAAATTTTTTTTATTCAACTCTTCTCAACGATCACTTGAACCAATTGTTTCCAACCAACTTAAGTTGAAAAATTTAAAGTTGAATATCTAAAACTATTCAAGTTGCTTCTTTTAGTCCTGTTGACGAAGCCTTTAACGTGATATATCAAGGAGTGAGTGTTGGAGAAGCAGTTTTTAAGTTGGGTCAAGCCTTTTCTTATTTTTGATAAACTTTCTACTATATTCGACATCCAAACCAGAAGGGTTATTTTGGTAGCAATTAAATAAAAGAGAAACTGTAAATAGTAAGAAAAGAAGAACATGAAACAATTTGGAAAGCACTCACTACAGTAAAACTTTGCAAAACCTCTATATTCCCTCACTGCTCTTTTTTTCAAAATCTTCGACAAAAAGTGGGGGATTTGGCTAACACTTCCAAAAGATCAGCAAGAGATCAGCATTGTTTACTACTGTATGGCACTAACTATAGTATCCCTCTGCTATAATACCCCCTATGAAAAAAACCTGGATACAATTCATGAGTTCGTGATTCAGAAGATTGAATAGAACCCGGGTATTATTTTAGTTAGATATATATAATATTTATATTTGAATCCTTATTAAACTAATATTAAACTATGTAAAGTACCCTCCTGTTATAGTATCCTCTCCCGTAATTAGTACTCGAGAGGGTACTATTCAAGAAATTTAATGGTTGATTGAATAGTACCTGGAGTACTGTAGTCAGTGTTGTATAGTACTTCTATTTTTGGAAAGTCTCAAGTTGTGTTATAATGAATTAGGAAAACAACAAAATACATGTGAGAAGGAAGTTTTGAGGCTGAAATTAAAACCAACGATTACGTATCGAGGCTTTGAAGTTAAATATTCTAGAACCCAAACTGAATTTTATATAAAAGTTGTAACTAGAACACTATATAAAATATGCAATATTTCAAAGTCATATGTATATAATTTTTAGCACTTAGCACAGGTTAAAGTGCACTTTAGTTTGTTTTTACTCTATATATAGATTTCTATGACTATGTAGATAGTTTTTTACCTGGTTAGGAGGTTTTTATATCTGTAAACAAGTTTTTTTAGATTTTAGGATAGTCTTTTATTCCTTTATAATTTGGTCATTTTCTTATATGTTTGTTTTTTTCTTTGTATTTATCCTATTCTCATTATACACTTACCTCTTTTTTTTTCTTTTTTACTTTATGAGAAAGTGTTAACAGATTAGCAGCACTCTATTGTAGAGCAGTGATTCTGACAAGGACAGTAAAAACCATCCATTAATACTGGTGCTCAAATCCTCAGAAAGTTGAGGATCCCAGTAGAGGAAAATATTCATTTAGACAAGTCGCTCCTGGGTCATACTCTAGCACTTAATTCTGGTTCACTAGAATTAGGTTGTGATAATGAGACAGATTGAGAGATTCTTTATTTGGATAGGCATAAACCAGTTTATGACAAATAATGTAGGTTTAACTAACTGAGTTTCTATTTGTAATCTGTTGCCGATTTATAAAATAAAAGAAGAATTGCTGAAGTAAAAAAAAAAGATAAAAAATTTTTAAAATAGATTCTAAGAATTAATAGACTTTATTTAAAATAAATTTTATTAAATTCTATTAAGCAGTTATTGAGCAATTTTTATTCAAAGTTTAAAATTTTTCTTTTATTTCAAATAGCTATAGCAAACTTTGAATAAAATTTTTCTCTACAACTATTTGATAAAACCTAATAGAATTTTTTTTAATTAAATTCGATAAATTAGTAAAATTTATTTAAAAAAATTATTTTTAAATTCTGCTATATAGTTGTTAAAAAATTTTCTGCTAATACAATTTTTTTAATAAATAGCAAAAATTTTTTCAAACTTTAACTAAAAATTACTTAAAAATTACCTGGCAGAATTTGATAAAGTTTTTTTAAATGAATTCTACTAATTTATAAAATTTATTTTAAAAAAATTCTATTAGATATTTAGATAATTGTCAAGAAATTTTACTCAAAATTTGGAAAATTACTATTATAGTTATTTTTTTTAAAAGGCAACAAAATTTTTCAAACTTTGAATAAAATTTCTGTACAACTATTTAGCAGAATTTAATGAATATTTTTTAAATAAATTATATAAATTCATAGAATTGATTTAAAATAATTTGTTGAATTCTATAGTTGTAGAGAAATTTGTCTTTAAAATAAAAAAATTCAATCTTTGTATTTTATATATTTTATATATCACATGATGATTAGTAATGTTAACATTAGAAAAGAAGCTATTTGAAGTATAGCTTCATAACATCAATCTATTTAAGATAAAACTACCACTATTAGAATTAGCTCATTGATATAAATATAAAGGTGGTGAGATCATCTAAATCCACTTACAAAAAGCTGAGATATTATTAAAAATGTGATTTGACCAAGTGATTTATATATAGATCACATGTGTCACAATCTGATTGGCTAATAATCTACTGTGTGAAATGCTTTACATATAGAATATATATTATATATCATATTTGTAGTATTTATATTATTTATTTTACATATTATGATTCAGTGCAAAAATGTAGATACACCAGTATACTTATAACAAATTTTTTTTTAAATTTAATATAAACATTTAAATTACTTCATTTTTTATTTAGGTTTTGGGGAATACTTTAATATAAATTTTATTAAAACTTTTAGATTTTTATAAAAATTTTTATTAATCACTCATTTCTTTAATTTCAAGATCTTCATAATCACTTTCAGCTAATAATACATTGTTACTTAATAGGCAAATCACGAGTCATCTAAACAAAATATTTTTTTTTTATATATAAATTTTACTATAAGCCCAAATGTGAAGCGCACCTATCTAAAACTTTTTTTTTTACTAAATAAATCATATTTGAGCTTATAACAAAAGTTGTAGAGCTCATCAAGAGGCATCTAATGGTAGTAAGAACATCAAAATTGGCTTGGTGGTTCTTGAGAAATCTTTAAAAAACTTCTTTTTTACATATAAAATTTCTTTAAAAAAAATCGATTTTTTTTAAAAAAATTTTATCTCTTGCATCTTTAGTAGTTTCAAACCTAGAAGATCCCTTAATATTGTCTCAAATAAGGAGGAACTCACTTCTAAAATTTTGATTCTTATTATATTCTTGATGAATCTATAAAAAGGTCTTTAGAAAATATAGAGCTTGATTTTGAGAAAAAAAAATTAGATTTGGAACCTCTTTTCCAAAATTCAATTAATTAATACAAAGCATTATTTAGAATGTATTTATAAAAAGAAAAAAGATTCTTTACAAGAGCTTTCAAAAAA